TCAGTTAGCTCAATTGTCACAATTTCGCTCTACAAAGTCACTAGACAAGTGATAAAGAAGAGTCCAATGGCCGAGGACATGATGATTAGGCTTTGAACTCATTGTACCGTACTGTGTCCTGACGCCTTATGCTCAGTTTCATCTGATTGGGCATGGTAGAAAAAGGCGAAAAAAATAAATCAAAAAGGTCCTCTGCATGGAAGATGGGATCGGAAAATATTGCAGCAAACAGTAACAAAATAGTTGCTGCTCTAGCAATAGCACCTATACAGTTTCTAGTCGCGACATAAATGCCTAGTGCAATCCTCACTGGTGCAGTCACTCAGTAGTGAGGTTGATGATCCAGCTTTTGAGACTCAGGAAAATAAAGACATGCTTTCCCCCTGGACCAAAGTGGTCCTAGACAGCCCGGGTCACATCCTCCTGGTGTTCGACCTCTGCCGCGAGCTTCGTCTTTGAATCTCGGTTCTCAGCCATAGCGATACGAGAAGCTTCGGCGTCGATAGCCTCCTGAGGTCGCTTCGCAGACTTGGTTACCTTGTCCCCAATGGGAATAATGATGCCGTGGCCCGCGTCCTTGTCGAAGTAGGCGTCCAGGTCTTCAAGGGTACGATTGGCCGTCTCAGGGTACAGGAAGTACACAACAAAGATGAAAACGAGGTTGAAAACAGCGAAGACTGGGGCACATGTGGTTAGATATGTCTATGTTACGAAATGAACAGGCATAGTATCCTTACTGATGTAGAAACGGTAGCCGATATTTTCAATGCCAGTGGGCGTAAACTGAGTGCAGACAAATCCGAAGAGCTAGATGGGCATTTGTCAATAAAGATGTAGTTAGAACAGAGGCTAGTGTCGTACATACCCAGTTGAATGAGGTTGCGGCCGCGGAACCAACGGTTCTCATGGCAATTGAGTTGACCTCTGACTGGTAGACCCATGGCACCATGCCCCAGGTACACCCGAAAGCCCCGTAGTATAAGAAGAGGAACGAGACGGCAACAATACCCAGCTCGTAGGGAGCTTTGGGAAGCAGGCCAATGGAAATGGCAACGACGATATAGGCCAGACTCTGAAGGGACAACCCTGTGATCATCAGGACGCGACGTCCGAATCGGTCAATTAGCCAGAAGCAGCATGCCGAAGAGATCATGTATGATGTGGCGTTGCATCCGGTGAGGATTCGGGCCAGCAGGTCGTTCAGCCCCACATTCTTGGTCAGGATGATGGTGAAGTAGTAGTTGAGGGCGTTGATTCCACCGAATTGCTAGCAAGGAATTTCGTCAGAACTGCTTTTGGGGCGGATGAGAATGTGCGCGTTGATGGGAACTCACCTGCATGAATTGCCCACCACAACCCAGAAGCAGACGCCTCAAATGCCCCGAGCGGTCGCGTCCGGCCAAAACATTCATGAAGGAAGTCTTGGACTGCTGCTCAATCAGAAGGGCGCCGTGGATCGATTGGTATTCACTCTGAACAGCGGGGTCGTCTTTCGACAATCCCTTGCCCCGGTAGCGACGAATGGCTTCTAGGGCGTCGGCGGTTCGGTCCTTCATCAAAAGCCAACGGGGGCTCTCGGGTACCAGTGGTAGCAGAGCAATGAGGAAGGCAAATGGAACAATCTGAACAGGTTAACGACAATGCGGATAGATGCCCCGAAGCTGGGGCTTCTTACCTGTAAGGCAAGCGGGAGACGCCATTGGTATCCGCCATGGGCAAAGGAGCATGCCAGTGTTAACCATGTAGCGATGCAGTAGAACACCACGTTATGGAGGACGACAATGACTGAAAGCTTTCCTCGGCGGTTGCTGGGGCAAGACTCGGCTTGAAAAATACCGCAAGTGGAACTGGTCATTCCTGGATCGTAACATCATCAGCAAAGGGAGTTAAGTTGATCAAAGGGCGCAAGACCGCAGCTCACCGTTCCCAGCTCCATTGATGACACGACCAACAATTAGTTGCGGAAAAGAGAAGGCTGAGAACTGAAGGATGGCACCGATGACACTGATGGCAGCGCCTATCCTCAGGGTGTTCTTTCTTCCCAGACGACCTCCGTACAAAGCTGCCATCAAGCACCCAAGCAGGTTGCCAAGCTACCAAAGGTCAACATTCTATTTATGCTCATCCTTATACGCGGAAGTGTTGCTGAATCGGGTCTTACTGAGAAGCAACTGGCAGTGATGCCTTGAATGGAAGCTTTGTTGGTCTGGGGGAAGGTCTTGATGAAGTCTGGGCTGATGAGGATGCCACTAACCACGCCCTAGAATTCGACTTTGTCAGTTTAGATTCAAGCAGTGACGATTTCCTCAAAGTAGCGAACTGACCTGATCATATCCATACCACGCTTGAGCTGCAGAGTTGGCTGCAGTCAGCGCGACTTCCAAGGCGTACCCCTCCAACATGGTTGAAGACAATTAAAGGAGATTGTCTATGAGCTAGTGTTGTTGTTGAGTCAGGAAATGGTCATATCACAGTACTTAGATGAGAACGAGATAAGAAAAGAGAAGGCTGAAATTAAATTCCAACTGAAACTACAGAGTGTTTCAACGGCGGTATCCTTCTCTTTATCTTCACTTTATCTTGGGATGGCGTACCAATCTGGGCCCCACACCTCCTGGTCACCCGTAGACTCCACTTGTTCCCCGTGGGGAACGGTGTTGTGCTCGCGTCGCGGAGTTGCGCCGAGGCAGAGAAACCGGGCGTTACATTGAGTTCCAAATCCTCGAGCGCTAAGCAATGAACTGGGACAGATGATTTAGCGAATCTCCCTGCAATCTAGTTCGGAGAAAAGAGCTTTTCCTGATATTCTACGTTCCCCGACTACAATTCCTGGTTAAGAGAGGTTGTGGACATTCCTGGACAGAAACCTCGAGATTTGGGTGAGGTTGTCACCAGGCTCCCGTGTCCCACATTTTCAATTAAGTCCCAGTAGCCTCGGAGTAATGCCGCTGCATCCCTGACGACTTGGTCAAGATGCGATCAAGATTCTTGGTTGTGGTTGCAAGGTTTACTGCTGCCGAAATCGACCGGGTTTCCCCAAGTTTGCGTACTCGTGAGGGGGAATGCGGACGAGCTAAGGGCTAGCAGACTGATCAACGGCACGTTGTCAGACAAGGACGGGGGCCTTGGAAGCAGCCGCGTTGCCGATTCCCATGCGGAGTAGGCGAGATACATTCAGCATCACATGGCGACAACAGAAACCTGGCTAACCTTCTCGATGGAAGATGAAAATAGACATGACAAATTGTTCCGTGTCGTTTTTGAGAAGGGTTACAGGTCCCAGTGCAGGGTGGCAGTGTATCTCTCTGCAATGGCTCGGTAACGGGAAATGGTGGCCCCTTCCGTCTCCATTTCTGTAGAAAGACAAAGGATTGAACGCGTCTAGTCTAGAGAACAAAGCAAATTCTGCAATTTTATTCATCATCCAATATCTGGACCTTGATTGCTCGGGCCCCTGGCGTGCTGGCAACCTTGAATGCATCCACTCCGTCCTCCAACTTGAACCGATGTGTAACCAACGGCTTGAGATCGATGATACCCGCTGCCACTAGGCTAATTGCCCTGGGGTATGTGTCGTGGTACCGGTACTGAAACTTCAAATCGATTTCATTGGCGGACAGGTGCATGAAGGGGATGTTCTGGAAGTCCTTGCCCACGCCAATGACAAAGACAGCACCGCCGAAACGGGTGGCCTGGTCAAGTATTCCTCTATCAGCTTCCGCGTGACTTGACATTGTACAGGGTCAAACCAGCACTCACATAAATGCCTGCGTGTATACTGCTCTCCACGCCGGTGCACTCAATCACAAGCTTGGCCTGCTGACCGAGTGCTTGCACAATCTTGGCTGCAACACCCTGTTCGTCAACCCCCTTCTCAACCAGTACCGGCCGAGCTCGAGGAACAAGCTCTTTGGCTTTTGTAAGCCGGGTCTGATCAATGTCCGTAATCACGATAGGCTCAGCCCCGGCGGCATTCGCCGCGAGCAAAGTGGTAAGTCCAATGGGGCCAGCACCACAGATGACTAGAGGATCCGCCAACCGCAGCCCTGAGCGGTCGATACCAGCCAGAGCGACGGAAAGGGGCTCGACCAACGACCCTTCCTCAAAGGAGACATGGTCCGGTAGCTTGTGCAGCCAAGCTTCAGGGTGGGCATGATACCTGCGGAGAACCCCGTGGTACGGAGGCGTAGAGAAGAAGACTACGTCTGGGCAGGCGTTGTACTGGCCTGTTCGGCAATAGTAGCACGTAGGTTTGGAGCAAGGAATGCCACACTCCAATGCGACACGATCGCCTGTGATACAATCAGCACCCACTTGTGCAACACACACTCATCTTGCAAAAGTATTTTGACATACCAGGCTTGAACCGCGTAACGGCTTCTCCAACCTTCAAAACCACACCAGAACTCTCATGTCCAAGGCCATTGTCGCCAGTAACAATCATGGGACCAATACGCCCATGCTTCCAGAAGTGGACATCGGAACCGCAGATACCGGAGGCACGAACGTGAACCAAGCAGTCGTTGGGTCCTATGGAAGGGACCTCACGCTCCACCAGCCTTAGGTCGTTGGCTGGACTTGTGTGAATGGCGTGGTTAACGGGCTTCTTCTGCAAGATATCCATAATGACGGCTGCTTGTACGAAATCAATTGATAGGGTTTTATATATCAATTGTTACCTTCTATTCTACTTTATGAGACTTAAGTCAACATCTATAAGCAGGTCGGATCAGGCCATACTCGGGTTTCACCTCGATTTTTGCATTTTCCCAAACGCACTGGTACGCGTAGTTTCAAAACATACCCCATAAGATATCCTCCGAGTTACTGTAGCTGACGGCAAATCGCCGGGTTACGCCAAGTATGCCCTTTGGTGGTTGGTGACCGGTACACTTGCGCTCGGCATCAATTCCGGCTTCGGCCATTCCCCTCGACGGCACATCTCCGGAGTGGGGCTATTGGGTCCGTTAGGGAATACACGCTTCGTCGTCCGTTCCGAATCCTTCACCCTCGGCTCAATGCCCGTCTCTGCAATGTACATGCACATGGACTTGAAGGTTTTTTTAATTACATTGTGCGCGGATCTAGAGGGGCAAGAGAAGGGAATTGTGATCCTTTGTTTATTCACAGCTTGTTTGTGATCCATATATATTATATTCGAGAGGTCCTATTTCCCTGCTGCTTGGCCTTCATATTACGCGTAGATAGCCACTTTCGTGCCGCCCTTGTCAAGAACTTGTGTACCCAGCCCCAACATGTCGTTCCCCGCAGAGACCGAAGGCTTCCAGGTCGATGAGGCCGGCGCTCCTCCCGATTTCTACCGCCGTTCTGTAAGTCCTTCGTGTCAAGTTCCCATTGCATGTGGAACATCACTCCTCTGGCGGTTTACTTAAGTTTGATCTGACTAGATCTCTCCTGTAGTTCAAGCTCAAGCCGGTTGGTGACTATGGTGAGTTCTACCTCGATGCGCCTCCACTAACCCACATGGCTGAGCCGCGTCGTTAGATGTCGATATTAAAATCGACGCATGCGGTGTTTGTGGAAGTGACGTGCACACAGTGACTGGTAAGTTGCCTGTGATGATAGGGATATAACGGGGCATCACTAATCTCGCCATGTAATTATTCAGGTGGATGGGGCAAGCAAAACTTCCCGCTTTGCGTCGGACACGGTGATTAAAGATTCTCCTTCATAGATGCATCAGACCACATGCTGATGGCGACTCAGAGATTGTCGGCCGTGCTGTACGGGTTGGGCCCAAAGTCACTCTCGTCAAGGTGGGCGAGCGAGTGGGTGTAGGTGCTCAGGTCTACTCTTGCGGAGAGTGCAAACAGTGCCATGAGGACAATGAGACCTACTGCCAGGTCAACCTGATCAACACCTACGGCTCCCAATGGCCTGGCACCGATATCATCAGCCAGGGTGGCCTGGCATCGCACATTCGAACCCACGAATTCTGGGTATTCCCCATACCAGAATCGCTAAGCACCAAGTCAGTTGCGCCTATATTGTGCGCCGGAATTACGGCGTACTCGCCCTTGGTGCGGCACGGTGCCAAAAAGGGCGCCAAGGTCGGTATCGTTGGCATTGGGGGTATCGGCCACTTTGGTATCATGTTCGCTAAGGCATTAGGCGCTGAAACATGGGCCATCTCGCGTTCAAGGGCCAAGGAGGCCGACGCTCGCGCATTGGGCGCCGACGGTTTCATTGCCACAGAGGAGGAGGGCTGGGAGCTTTTTCACCGCTGCTCATTCGACTTGATTGTCAACTGCGCAAACTCTTCTTCAGGCTTCGACCTCGCCCGCTACCTCTCCTTGATGGACGTCCACGGCCGCTGGATCTCCGTCGGGATGCCCGAGGAGGAGGGCCAAGTCATCAAGGCACAAAACCTTGTTTCCAATGGTGTGTTGATCGGCGCGAGCCATCTGGGGAGTAGACGGGAAATGCTTGATATGCTTAAGTTGGCTGCTGATCACGGACTGGAGGGATGGGTGGAGGAGGTTAAGCTAGGCGAGGAGGGCCTAAAAGAGGCTATTATGAGACTTAAGAGGGGTGATGTCCGGTACAGGTTCACAGTCACTGGGTACGAGAATGTTTTCGGTTGAACTCATCTCGAGTTTGAATAGAAACGGTGTTCATATGAAACACTCGTTTTTTGCCTTGTTGAATTCCTACGCATGCTCTGTGCTTGCACCTCAGAATAGAGTAAATTGCCAGCGACTAAGAGAGGATTAAAAGGGTGAGTTGAACAATTTGTTGTTCGAGTTGAATTTGCCTTTGCTTTGATGTTCTTGGGTAAGGTCTGTTGGTAGATCTTATAGTCTACGCCTCTTATTGAACATCGTCCGCTCATACTCAAGATTGCTGCGTAGAAGAGGAACGTGTCTAAGGCATGGTAAATGGCGATTAATTTCTAGGCTGCCTGGCCCGTTTGGTTCATACTTGGAATCTGACAGTTTTGATAGTTGAATCTTGACACGTGACAGGTGACGAGTAGGTGTGAGATGTTGACGCATGTCCGCGCCAACCTACACACGTGTAGCCGTCTATCCATTCATTATTCATTCGTTTCAGTCTGCTGGCCGGTTACACAACCAGACAGCGAGTCATTTCCCGCTATATGCATCACTGTGCCACTTTCTTCAACATAAGTCGGTGTGTCAAATAGGAAGACAGACAAACGAACCAAGATAAGCCAGACTACAACAGCACGAAGCCAATGAGGCCCAAAGCTGGGAGATGATTACTTATGCACCTGCACCTGCGGTCGACTGTGCAGAAACTGAGCTCAGTTGGGTTGGAGACCAACATAAGAGACCGAAGCCTAGATGCCTCAGAGAGATCTTTTGTGAGAGCTGACTGTGAGAGAGTAGGAATCGATCGAAACGGTATGTCAATTTAAAGTGTGCTATAGAAAGGTAGGTTAGTCTTACCTCTAAGAGTAAAGCTTATTAAGATATATTTTAGATTCTTATATATATTTATCTAAACTATTGATTTATTACTATAAGTGATAAATAAGAAGCTCTACTTCTAAGAGTAAACTTAATTAAGTTATTATTAGTTCACTTACTCTATTACTAATTATACTCTATTTCTAGAGGTAGAATATAAAGGTTAAGCTAGATAAACTAATAGCTTAGCTAAGTCTATTCTTAAAGATAGAATTAATTAAGTTATTAGGTTATTTACTCTATTACTAATTACTAAGGTAAAAATATTATTTAGCTATAAAGTTAAAGCTAGATTTAGGGTTAAAAAAGTAGGTTAGTCTTACCTTTAGAGATAAAGCTTACTAAGATATACTTTAGATTCTTATATATATTTATCTAAACTATTAATTTATTACTATAGATAATAAATAAGAAGCTTTACTCTTAAAGATAGACTTAATTAAGCTATTAGTTTACTTACTTTACTACTAATTATACTCTATTTCTAGAAGTAGAATATATAGGTCAAGTTAGATAAACTAATAACTTAATTAAGTCTCTTTTTAGAAAGATTATTGACTAAAGATATTAGCTAATTAAGAATAAGTAAGTTTAAAATTGTTTTTAGTATACTAGTATCGAAAGCTTTAGATTATTTTTATTACTATTTAAACTATCGTTTTAATTATTATTTTAATTACTATACTAGTTAGTTATTGAGTTACTAAGTAAAGTATAAATTTTGAAGAGATAATTATAAAGAGATAGATATAGTTATAAAGCTATTAAAGTTATTAATATTAATATTAATAGTAGATAATATTATTTACTTTTCTTTATTTACTTTTCTTTTTATTATTCTTTTTCTTAAGTATATTATTATTTTCTAGCTTATAAAAGTATATTTTAAATATTCTTATCTTAATATACTAGTTTTTATATTAAGTTTAAGTTAGTTAAAAGAGTATTAAGTTATATTAAGACTCTTATAATACTTTTATTCATTATTTATTAACTAGTAAGATAAGTATTATCTTTCTTCTCTTTTATATTACTTTTTAATATTAAGATTATTTTAAGTATTAGAGTTATAATATACTATAAATATTATCTTAAGTAAATTTAAGAGAATTAAAAAGCTATTTTAAGGATAAATATTTAACTATTACTATTTAATTTTATCTATCTAAGGTATATTATTAATATCTTTTATAATTAATTAAGATAATAATAATTATAGATTAGAATCGTTAGATTAAAGATAAGGCTTAAGAGGACTAGAAGAGTTAATTAGGCTAATAAAGCTTTATCGATAGTTAATATTAAGAGAAGTTAAGTTTGATAAAGTTATTATAATATATAATACTCTAATATCTTAGAACTTAGTAATAAGCTTTATTATAACTATAATTATAAAGATATATAAGTAGATTAGAGATTAAATAATTAGCTTAATAACTAGATAGCTTATAACTAGATAGTAGAAAATATAATACAATAGAGTATATACTTAAGTACTAATAGCTGTTAGTTTAGCTAATAGTAGTATATAAGAGAGTTGCTATTCATACTGTGCCTTAACAGATAAATTTTACATAAATACCTCTATCTCACTTAAAACTCTAGTTTTATATATAAAAGATATATTATTAAAATCCTCTTTTTATTACGAATTTAAATATATTCTTTCTCTAAATTTAAACTTAGATTAATTAAAATAAATATAAATAAAAAAACTAAATTTGTTAAAACTATAAAAGAAAATATACTAATAATTTCTTAACTTCTCTTAATTTTCTACTTAAATTTAAGTAATAAAATATATATTAGATTTAAGATTTAAAACTATTATTAGATTGATAAATAAATAAAAAGTATATAATAGTTTAAAAAGTAAGATTTTAATATAAATTGAGAGAGATATAAAGAGATTTATAGAAGACTGATATTAGTGCTACAAAATCTACACAATATAAATAGCTATTTGACACAGCATAAATAGCAACTCTCATATATAAATAGAGAAGGTACTTATAAAAGAAAGTGTCTTAAGTAAATAAGAGAAGTATCTTAATTAATTATCTAAAAATATTATTATTTAATAATTATAAGTTATAAAATATATATATTAAAAAAGAATAAGTAAATATTATTTATAAAATATATTATTATAAATATATTTTATAAGTATATACTTTATTAGCTATAAAAATACTCTTATATAGTAAAAATAGTTATAAACTTATAAAGATATAACTCTTATAATTATCTAATATAAAGAGACGAAATTTAAATTCGTTTCTTAATAATAATTTTATTTATAAAAAATAAATATATTTTATTTATTAAATAACTATATAGCTATCGATTTATTTGTTTTTTAAGTATATATAATATTAATTAATAATTTAGTAAAATTCTTAGATAAATTATTACTTTTATAAATCTTTTTCTTTAAAAATAATATTTAAATTAAAAACTATATTAATTATTAAAATAACTTTAATAAATATAATTTAATTATATTTTTAATCTTCTTTAAAAAGAGTTTTATAAGTTTTTATATTATTAAATACTAAGCTATTAATTTCTAATATTATTAATAATAAAACTATATAATTTATATAAAAATAAACTTACTAAATCTAATTATAATACTATCTTTATTAAAATTATAAATAAGCTTAGAATATACTTACTTATAATTCTTTTTAAAGTCAAAATACTAATTAATAATCTTAAGAGTAAATAAATTAAAGTAAAAAACTTTTTATTTAATATAGTTATATAATAAGTACTATAATATAGTAAGTACTATACCTTTTATATATTATATTATCTTTATATAAGTTATTTTAACTATAAGATTTTAAATCAATTAAAACTACTTAGAATTCTTATCTTTAAATATCTTTATATATAATTAATATATTTATATATTATAGTTAAGCTTCTTATAATTATTATAATACTAAATATATTTTTAATCCTCTTTTATATAACTCTCTTTTATATTAATATTTATATTATCTTTAACTATAAGACCTTTTTCTTTTTATATTTATTTTACCTTTTATTATAATAATAATCTTTCTTATTAAAGATATATTTTTTCTATTCTTTAATACTTATTTTATACTTTATTTATTATCTAAAAATCTTAAATCTCTTATTTTATTAAAGTTATTTTATATATAATCTTCTTTATATTTTATATAAAAATATTAATCTTATTATAAATATATATTAAAAAACTATTTTAATAATAAAAGATCTTATTTTTAATTAAAGTTATTTAAAAAGTTATTTTAATTAAGTTATTAAGTATTTATCTAATTTAAGTAAAGATAATATTAAACTATAAGCTTTAAAGTATAATTAGTTAAGATAGATTATCTAGTTAAAATAATACTTTATCTAAGTTAAATAAAATAAAGTTAGTTATTTAAAAGTTAGTTTTAATATTTATTAAAGTTATTATATTATTATATATATTTTAAAATATAGAAAGAAAGTTATTCTTTATAATATAGATAATCTATATTTATATTATTTATTTAATTATTTAACTATATAAGTCTTTTAATATATTAAAATACTTAATATTAAGTAATTAAAGCTTATAAAAAATAAATAAAGAAATATATAAAGTATAATAATACTATTTTCTTTATAATATTTCTTAAAATCTATTAAATAATAACTTTTATAATTATTAAAGATAAAAAGATAATATTTATTCTTTATATATTTATTAAAATATTATAATTATTTTAAACTAATCTTATTTATTATTTAGCTATTATTATTTATATAAACTTTTTAATCTTTTAAAAAGTTATTATTAATATATAATTAAAAAGATAATATTAACTCTTTATAATTAAAAATAATATTATTATTTAGCTAATTATATTAATTATAATAATTATATGTTAAGACCTTATATATTC